TTACCCTCTCTGTAAAGAATTTCTTCCTAATATCCAACCTAAGCCTCCCCTGGCAGAGCTTAAGACCATGCCCTCTCGTCTTACTGACAGCTGCCTGGGAGAAGAGACCAACTCCCACCTGGCTACAACCTCCTTTCAGGGAGTTGTAGAGAGTGATGAGGTCTCCCCTGAGCCTCCTCTTCTCCAGGCTGAACAACCCCAGGTCCCTCAGCCTCTCCTCATAGGACTTGTGCTTGAGTCCCTTCACCAGCCTCATTGCTCTTCTCTGGACCTGCTCCAGCACACTTGCCCAACATCATTGGGTTAAAAATTCACGGAAAAAAATAATCTCACTAATACTACATGGGCAACATTTTTTACGAAACACTTAGGGGATGAAACATAAAACTTTATAGTTAAGGATTTACTTTACAATTTCTGAATCAGGTAAAGCAGCATTAGATCTTCATTGGGAGATTTCTCTTGAATTTTTAGCATTTCATGAGCCATGTAAAAAGAAAACCGAATAACTTTATAAGGATTGGTAATAAAAATGATAGATTTTTATGTACCTCTTGCAGCAGGATGATGGTCACATTTCTAAAGCCATATGAAAAATTTAACTACTTGTGAGACACTAAGTGAGAAAATGGAAATGGAATAGGATGGTTAAGAAGAAATGATAGTCAAAACCATGACTACTTGTGCTAGAAAGTATTAGGAACTGAAGAGCACTCAGAAGGCCTTGCATTGCACAGGTCCTATAACTCAGCAATCTTTTAATTTCTCTCCTCCCCGTAAAGAATATTTTGTTTGGAAACTACAGAGAGATTTTAAAGCAAGATGATTATATTTTCTTTTTGAAGAATTCTTTTTTCTTAATGACTATTTGTTGAACATACAAGGGGGGGTGTCATTATTTGAACTCTTCATGTTAAAACATTTGAAAATTATGAAGACAGTCTTAATGAAAACAAGTTTTCTACACAACCTATTACATAGCAACAAAACAATTTCTTAGGAATGTATTATGAAAACTGCATGAAAAGAAACTATTCTCCAAAGTCTTGGGGCCCATTTTGAAGGCAACAGGACACAATTCTCTGAAAATCTTATGGTCTAATTTTTTTTATGTGAAAGGAGGAAGAGATGAAGAGGCACTTCCTTCTTTGACAGCAATTAAAGGTTAGGGCAGGATGCCTGGATTCTCGTTTTAAACAAAGAGCTGTTCAGGTGTGTGAACATAATATATGGCATGTGAAACTATTTATCCTTCAAACAATACAATCTATTTAAAGGAAATAACTGTATGGGCTGAAGGTAAAGAAAGATTTCTGGCTGATTTCTGACTGACCCTTACATCTAACTGCATATCAGTAACCTACTGATAAAAGGGCTCTCTCTGCACCCTCTGGAGTCCCTCCTTGCCAGTTACTGGACACATTCTGACACACTGTCTTTACCTATGACATAGAGGCACAGCTTCAGGGTGTGTACATTAAGATGCCTACTAGTATCATGGGTATGTTCATGTTGTAAAGCGTAAATGAGACACAATTTGATCCTCCTTTACAATGACACACAAGTTGATTCCAGACAAATTTCTGATCCACCAAACTACCAGTGTTTTACACAAGAATGGAAAACAATGGGAATGGGTGGGGTTTCACCTATGATTTATGTAGATATGTATTTTCACATCCATTATCCAACATCTGTTTTAACAGAGAACACTTTACTTATTAAGGTGTAAAGTGAATGGGCGATTGTCTACATTTGCCACTGGAGATTTTCCCAGTGTTGGGAAAATCATAAAGCTGAAGCATAGATTTTTCATCTGATTTAAGGAAGGCAAGAGTTGCTACTTCTCTGTCAACTGCTGACGTGAAAAGTCAAAATGAAGCTCTTGAACATGGTAGAACTTCTGGTTTATTTGAAAAAGAGTGTTCACAGCTGTCAATATTCTGCAATACAATGATCAGTAAGGTGCTTATTGCCTGTGTGATGGTGTGCTCCTTTCACCCCCAACCTGACCTTCATTTCCCATATCTCTGCTCAAGTGATAACCATCAATGATGGCTGGAACAGATGCCTCTGGTTACGTTGGTGGCATCTGACTCAGTGGATCCATGAGAGATCTTATCCATAAATACTGGACAGCTGTCACTGCCAGAATGGAAACTTTGGACAAAGTTTGTCAGGAAGGCCCTCTTGTTGAATCACAAGGTTCAGAATGGACTCCCTTTCTGCCTCAATCCCTTCTCAGGGAGGAGTCCAGGTATGCTTGGATCCAGTCTTAGTCCCAGACTTGGACAACTGTTTATGTCTAAGGGATTACATTGATGTAGTTAATCGTTTATACTACTTTTTCCTACAGGGTTAAGGACAGCAAACTAAATATATTTATATAGGTAAATAAACTTTGTATTTCAATTGATGATGGTAGTGACAATTGTTAGACTGAAGAACTTCAGAATTATCTACTACACAGTATAGACAGTTATAGGTGATATTAGATGGTACTATTTATTAAAAGCATAGTTTCAAACCTAGATTCATAATTGTTAAATAGAGATTGATGTTACTGACCAATACTGATGACTATAGGTAAATCTTTTCTGCTAATTCTCAAGGAGTAATCTTGAGGAGTGTCCCCACTCAAGGAAGGAATCTCGATACACTCTCCTGGAAGTGATGTGCTAGAAATCCCTACCAGTAAAAAGTGGCACTGAGCTTTAATATTATTAAGTGGTTGACTGTCAGTCATATGTTGCTAGGATAGCTGTGCTAGCTCGTAGAACATAATTTATCTTTAAATTAGTTATCAGTGCTATCACTTATCGGTTCCTCTATCAGGAAGCATCTGTCCTTCACAACCCTGCCAGCACAAGTTTCTGTCAGGAAACACATGTTCTTCACATCCTTGTGATGTTTAATTTTGGTATTCTCGAGTCAGGCTGGTCTCAGCATTCTCTAACATGAAAAGCAGCATGACCTTTCCCTCCATCACGGATACTCTGAGCAAGTAAGGTGAAGTTCGAGCTGTTCCACCCCCACTTAGAGTGTCCTGCTGCAACAGTCCGGGGCCCATTGAACCCTGCTGCACAGGAGCAGGCAGCACATCTGGATCTCCCCTAGAGTAGGGATGCCTCTCAACGCTACTCCTCCAGGCTGAGCAATTCCTTGTCACAATCGATTCTGGGTAAGTGATTAATAGCATGTTTAACTTTGAAATCTTAGCTAAGTGATATAAAGGATTGATTATGAACATATAATCCTTTAGACATAAATGAACCAATTTTGTGGCTAAGTTTGTATCCAGTTGCATCTAAACTCCTCTCTGAGAAGCAGTTTAGAATGCAGGGAGTTCCTTTCTGACCTCATGACTCAATGGGAGGGTCTACCTGACAATTTTATCTGATCCTGTCTTCTATGAAGTAAATAAAGTGTACCTTGTCATCGAATCTTGTTAAACCACTGTTGCATTTGCTATCAAACTTTGTAAAAACGTTGTTTTTATATCAAAAAGCATATTGCTACTTCTCTGTTAGGAATGAAGTGCTTCAGTGCATTTGCAACACCCTGGGACCAAATCAGCCTGGCCCTGGAGAGACCAAAGCAAAATAACTTGGCTCACAATGTCTGTGATCATGCAATATCTAACCTCTAGTTTTCCAAGGTTCTTGTTACTACTAAAAAATAAATAAAGAGGAATTTAATAAAGCAGGATTCTGAGCTGAGTAGAATCCCATGTCCTATACAAGATAAAAAGAAGAAAATAAGCAAATTGGATATAATATTATCCTGTAGTGAGACATAAAATTTTCCTGTGCACAAGCTTGAAGTCCTTACTTATCTCCTAATAGCATCTGTGGATGTGGGCTCACATGTGGAAGCTGGAAGGCAGAAGTGGTTTATGTCCACAATTTCTACTTCTCCTCTGGGATGGCTGGTTACACCATACATCTGCTCCTGCAGGAGGTTGTAATGTAAACCAGCAGTGGTTTTGGTTTGTTTTGCTTCAATGACTGTGACACTGGACAGCTCTGGAGCTGACAAACCTTCTGTTGACCCATGACAGTATGAAGGTGGCAGGTCTCAGACAGGGGCTGTGTAGGCAGGTTGAATAAATTAGCCCATCACCTGGCCCAGTTTAATCCACACTATATTCAAGGAGATACAATAGAATCACTCAGTACTACTTCCTGAGTTGCAAAAAGTCATGTTGACTTTAGCAAAACTTTGCAGGCAAGGCCCCTATCATGTTCATCAGAAATAGGTTGAATCTGCACACTGAAGCTTAGGATGTTTGAAAAAATATGAATGTTATCACTGACAGAGACCGAAGGAAAACTGAGAGCTGAAATTGTGTGCTGACAGACAGCAACTAGCTGAAAATGGAGCTTTTTTGCTTCACTTCATTTATTCTCACAATACAGATCATACATTTTTCATGAGAAGCAAGTGCCTATGCAAATAAATGTCTGCTGGGAGTCCAACTGGGATGAAAGTACCCACTTCGAACTCATATGCGAGTAAGCTTTTGAAGCTACTGACTATAATATAATATTGTAATGGTTTGGAAGTTATATATGAATTCTGAGTCCTGCTTCTCTAAAGATACACCAACCTATTGACTCAAATGGGAAAACAGATCAAGAACAGAGAAAGGCATTTCTCATTTAATCTGATCCTTTGACTGATACTTTCAAAAAAATTACAGTAAACTTCACTTTTCAGCATATTTTACTGGTTTTATGTTTGCATTTCCTATTTCTACAACAGAACAATGAAGAGTAAAGCAAGTGGCTTTAAATGTCAGGGGTAAGCTCAAAAGCTTTATTTACTTCTGTTCATCATGTCAATCTTCTGTCCATTTCTTTGAAAATATATCCCATGTTCACACAGAAATGATTGCAATTTTCAGTGTAGTACAGAGTATTCATATCACTTATGAGCCACAAGCACAGGTGACAGAAACTGTCAGCCTCCAAACAAAGAACACAACAAAATCCACTATAAATTTAAATAATTTAATAAATCTACTTAAAGTTTAAAACAATGTTCATAAACATTCCATTATATCTTGACAGCTGTTTCTCAAAGGGAAGGGATAAAACTTGTTTACAAAATACTCCCACAATTCTGAGAAAAATTACCAGCTCCTCCTGTGCTCCTCACTATAGAGACAGGCACTGTGCCACTGTGGAATTAAAGTGCATGATTTTCCAGGTTTGAATGCACAAAATCCGTTTCCAAGACAGGTCAATTTATTGTTGGAAAAATCTGTTGGGGAAAGAGGAAGGGAATAGGGATTAGAAGTTTATTTGCTTGGTCCTGATATTGATCACAGTGATTGTCAACATAATTTAGGGAACCCTAATACAATATTTGAATCTTCCCTTACGCTCAATCACCATCAGTCTTGGAAATATTTCCTTCCAACAGTGCTTATATTGGTGATCAAAATGGCTCTAAAAATCAGCCCATGAAGAAGGTCACTGAATTCAGCGGCAGGATTTCACTGCAGTAGTAGGCTAGACACCAAATGGATTCCTTTATCCTTCCCTAGCATTCCAGATTTTTCTTCTTATTATGTTTTTCCCCTTGTTATGCTTTTTCCCAGTATGAGGATGGTATAAATGCAGGACAGAATAAGATTAATAAGATTGTTGTTCTTAACTAATCATATTTTAAGATTATTTGTGCAAGGATACATAATTCTCAGAGGGAGAATAAGAGAAGCATTAAAACCTCCCAGGACTATTAGTTATTACAGCAGGCTGAAATCTCTTTAATTTTCAAAATGACTTCTAGAGCATGGAAGAAGCAAAACAAAACAGAAAGAAAACAGTTTGCAGAACCTGTGTAATATGTGAATGAGTGCGGTAATTCTCCAAGAGTTTCGGAATCATATAATGGGTTGGCTTGGAAGGAACCTTAAAGATCATCTAGTTTCAACCCCTCTGCGATGGGCAGGGACAGCATCACTAGACCAGGTTGCTCAAAGCCCCATCCAACCTATACTTGAAAACCTCCAGGATGGGGCATCCAAAATTTCTCTGGGGAACCTGTTCCACTGCTACAGTAGCGTCTGAGTAAAGAATTTCTTCCTAAATCTAACCTAAATATCTTCTCTTTTAGTTTAAAACCACTCCCCTTTGTCCTATCTGCCCGCAAACAGTCTGCCTCCAGCTTTTTTGTAGGCTCCCTCTAAGTACTGAAAGGTTGCAATAAGGTCTTCTCCTCTTCTCCAGGCTGAACAACCCCAACTCTCTAAGCCTTTTGTCATAGGAGAGGGTAGTTCCAGAAAACTTGCTATTCAGTGGGTATCACCATGATTATTCCTCTTAGACAAAGTTTTGCCTTCACTTTATTCTTTGACCATAAAAGGAGGTGATGTGCAGTGCATCGGTATTTATTTGCTATGGCTCATGGAAACTTTTGTAGGAGATACAACAAATCAGCACTCCAAGAAAATTCATACATTCAGTGTCCAAATGATACACATTCACTTAATGCAAAATAAGATCAAGAAAAAGAATGTAATTTTTAGATTTTAGTTTTGCCTCTTTTTGACTGTAGAGTTTTAAAATCTGCTTCTTGAAATAATAGGAGAGCAGTTCCCAAATGATGAGAATTATGCTATTTCATCTAAATGATATGAAAACCTGTGTCCATAGGAATACTCCCAGCTCCAGGACTCCCAAAAGCTCCATGGAGCATTTACTTTGTCAAGATTCAGAGAGGGCTGAAACTCAGTGCTGTGATAGCTCTGATTTATAAAATGGTGGGATGCAAAATAACTCCAGGCATGCTCAGAATGTGGGTGCTGTGAAGCCACTTGTCAGAAATATGCCAGGTGACCAGAGGGTCAGGAGAGACCTTTCTGCACCATACAGTAAAATGATGGCAGCTGAAAAATGCATTGTTAGTAGTGCCACTGGCTGGTTGAACTTTCCTTGGATACAGTCACCTTTTTTTCATCAGGAAAGTTTGTCTAGGAGGAATGGGAACTTTAACAATTTGGGATTCCTGAGCATCCTGTAGCATCAGTGGGACAGTGTCCCTGACTAAGCTCAGAATATCAAGGAATTGATACCAAGAAATCACAGAGCAATATCCCCAGTGTGTGCCCACAAGGTCCAGTGTATTCTGTGCATGTTTAAATAATTTGTGCAGCATATGCATGGTTAGGCAAACACATTTAGATGCCCAGGACTCAATGCATTTCTGCCATAAGGCATATACTCACCTAATTCTATCAGAGAGATCCATAAATAGGAACATTCTACATTTAAGTTTCTAATTTGTATATCTTCATGTTTAGGGTAATATATGTGCGTGTGTGTGTGTGTGTGCATGTATATATGTGCACATATGTATACATATGTGGTATAGGTATAGGCCTTGTTGGTACAGAACCTGGGATGTTTTGCACAAAAGCCTTGTTCCCTAGTAGTTGCTCATGTCCCTGAACGCATTGATCCTGTAATACGCTGAATGATTTCACCCAGGAAAGCAGGGCAGACTGATGAAGTAGGTTGTTATACAGCTAAAGATAATGCAGGAGAAATAATATTAGCCTAAACTCAACCTTCATGTCCAAGCAATTCTTTGGACCATCTGTGAGTCAAGATTTCATTCAGATCTGATTATTTTAAAATAATAATCAGGTCTCTACTAGATGTGATTGAGCCAGAGTCATAAATTGTTCTGTGTTTCTTTAGCTAAAATTGACCTGCTTTGGTCTACTTTATTTGTGTCATCTTTTGTAATTCGAAGCACTTTACCTACAGGCTCCATGCTCTGTGAAACCTTCTGTGTCTGGACCCCAGTAATTCTTTTTCCAGCATCTCTTAATGCATATTTCTTGCCAGGGCACTTTATTGCAAGATGTCTGGGAATAATTGGGTACAAAATAATATCATATCAGTTCCATAGAAAAGTCTGTGCAAAAGTATAAGACATTCATTGTAGTATTTAAATTATCAAAATTATTGAATTAATAAATCACTGGTGATGTAGAAAGACCAAAAAAAGACTATGATCCACTTGAAAGTTCTCCTTTTTTCTCCCCACTGTTTTGAGATCAATATCTTTTCCCTCTTCTGAGCTGTTCTTTCATTCAGGACTGACTAAACACAGTATGATTAGCTCCTTTCAGCTCAGAGGTTACGTATTTTGCATCCTTACAGAGGAAAAAAAATAATAAGCCACTCAGACTTTCCAATATTAGCCAGAGAGCACAGAACATGTTTTGCAAGTGCTACTGAGATTGAAACAGAATGTTTGTTCCAAATGCTCATTTTGGCTTTGCAATTAACAGATGATTTTTTAGTTATGCTATTTAGTGACATAAGTTTTTTTACCAGATCTTTTTCCAAGACCCTCTTTTGTTTTAACACATTGGTTTTAAAGGATACAAGACTTTCTTCCTCTGACTGAAGTTTTTACTTTGTCAGCAATTTAAAATGAACTGCATGTGTATTATGGTCAAGATGTTTACAAATTACCAGTGGAATTCTACGCTTAACCATTTTTACCTTGCTTTCTTTCAAGATTTCTATAGGAAATATCAGTGATTGAGTTTTAATAGCACATTCAATCACCTCATAGCTATTACAAACACAAATACTATGCCTCTTGTATCAGACATGGAGTCTGACACTGAGGCATTTAGCTTCAGACTGAGTGTTTTTCTGCTTTCTGTTTTCACACTTATTTGCTAAATAGCAGAATTAGACCATGAGCCCTTATTGCATTGGACATAATCCCTATAATAAATATTCAAAGTATTGTGGACTTAAACAGGAACTTTCTTTAAAGTTCCAGATCTAAATAAAACTGAGTAATGAGAGAATGCAAATGTTCTTTCTTAATTTTAACTGAGAGCAATTAATCAGCAGTTAATCAAGATGAAGAGTAATTGCAGTGGCTCAGGTTGGGAAAAAGGCCAGTTTCATTTTAGGGGATTTTTTTTTTAATTTTTTTTTCCCCAAGTGACTTCCTAATCTGAGTACTGTGGCTCCCTGACTATTTCTGGTAGGACAGGGTGGTGCTCTTAATGATGCTTCAAGGTAGAGCTTATATTACTAATATATGTGTATCACCTTTTCCCACCTCTGAATATATTCTGCTCTGGACTGAAAACCACCAATAAAAGTATAATCACTAGAGTTGAAGACTCTGGTTCAGTCTTCCACTCCTGGGAATAGAGAGGTTAAAGGCATGACAGAATCACATACCGTTCCCATGGAAACTTTTTTTGCATTGATGTTTCCAGGCAAATGACAATACCGGTGAATATTTAAAGATCGGGATTTCAAATGTCTGTTTGAAATATTTTCCAAATCTCATTGTTGTCTCAGAGAGAAAAATAACAATAATAAAATATTGATATTAATAATAATAATAATTTTCTGATTCCTGCACATTGTCTTCAGTTCAGTTTTTAAGACTTGACATTGGTTTAACTGAATGTCTGGATTAATTTTGAACTGGGCACTATAATTGCATCTGATCTGGTAAAGGCTAGAGGGGTGGTTTTTCAGGAGTAGTTTTGTTTTGTTTTGTTTCACTTCCGGTATTTATTTTAAAATCACTGAACTGTTGCTTTATATCTGGGGACTGAAGCTTGCCATAGATTATTCTGCTAGCCTTCATCAGCCTGCCACAGAGAAAGAGGGGTGTTACTTCCTCCTAAGGTGTGTGTTCCAACATGTGGCATTAGATAACCCCTCCTTGCGTCCATCCTCACAAGTGTTCAGGTCCTGCCCATTAGGATTTATACTGCAGTGATCTCCTGGGGAAAGCTGGAATCTGCTTCTAGGCACTGAGGCTGGAGCATGGAGGGAGCAGAACTTTCTCCGGCACTGAAGCATCGTCTATTCACCTGCAGGTCACTAGATGAAAATCCCTTACAGTCTGCCCCTAAGGAGCAGCCTCAGGTTTTGCAGGAGGGATAAGGAGAAGTGTTTCTATCCCATTTTCTTAGAAATCCTACAAAATCGGACAAGGGCCCTACACCCTTGGAGGTCAGTGGAAAAAACTTGCTCCTCCCCCATGTTTTGGGGCAGTCCTGCCACTCAGCCTGGGTTGAACACGCAGTGCAGAGCCCTTCCTGCAGCTCTTCATGCTGATGGCACACACAAGGGGCACTACACCAGCAGCATTTTTTCTTGGCCTGTTCTTTACTGAGTTAATCCTTTTTATCTTTTGTACTGCTTACTTACTAGCCTTATTAGAGGAACTTCACTGATGTGTTACCTGTCTTCCTTGAATATTACAAATTACTTTTCAGTTCATAAGTTACTCTCTTCCAAGAGTATAAACAACCACTTTTCTCCAACAATGCTGAATGCTGCACCGAAAAAAACCCAAAAACCTTATAGTTTTTCCTCTTTTAAAAATATCGCAAAATACAGAAAGATAAGCAAATCAAAAAGAGTAATACTTAAGAAATTAAAATATTAATTAAAGCAAAAAACGGAAAGAAAAGCAGAGCTAAATTTTAAGGAACAGGGAGTTACACAATTCTGGGGCTCCTCCAGTAAAAAGTTTGTCATCCAGGGACTTGGACCTGATGCCAAAATCCTCACAGCCAAGCAAATAGCTACGGCCAAGGTCTAAAAAATAAACATTACTAGTTCTCACTGAAAATTTGTAGCAGCAATGAAAACGACAGAAAGAATTTTGTACTGTTTTTCAAAAAAAAAAAAGAAAATATGTAGTATTTTATTGAATATATCTTTTTTGTTCTCCCAGTGCTGTTCTTAATTGGTGATTCCAAGCGGCAGAGAAATGAACATTACCAGCTGAAATGGCATCTGTGAAACATAATGTCTGGCACAGTGGGCAGATAAAAATATGTTTTGTCAAACCTCGTGGTTGCTTCTAACACTGCTTAAGAAAGGGCTGTGGGGAGACAACAGCATAGTAAGGGAGGTAGTTCTGAAGAGTGCTCTCAGTTACATATCCTAAATGGGACAATTCACTCCACCGTCTTCCTTTTCTGAGTCCAAGTGATTTTCCCTGTAAATGTGGAAAAGAGAAAAGAGTTATTCATATAGATAGAGAGCATGTTGATCCTTCTGGGAAATAGTGTGATTACTAGACAGGTTTTGCTTAACATTGAACAAAAACCTGTGCTATCAAAGGACCAGAAACTGCTAATTATTGTTAAGCTTTCTGAAATTGTTTCACAAATGGAAAGTAAGTGCTGAAGTGATGAAGGGCTAAAGTGGTATGAGAAGGAACATGGTACTGTGCTGTATCATCACTGGAGCATACCAGCAAGCTTCCAAATATTTTGACCAAGCATACATACAAATGTGTCTGTTTGAAATCACTGCATTAATGGAGCCCCTGGGCAAAGGTGACAGGTAATACTGAAGCAAAAATACTAATTAGTAATACTTTTATGCAGTAAACAAATACATATAAAACATTGTTATTTTTTCCAGTCCCAGAGCCACTCTTTTGCATTCTAACAATGGCAAAGTCACCTTTCTGGTATATCTAACTTGAAAAGGGGTAATAATATATTATTTATGGTAGGTAGATTAGATGCCAAGGCCATTGTTTCCAACAGACATTCCATAGTCTCACATGGTATGGCATTTTTGTTTTAAAACACCCTTGTCACCCCGGACTAGGATTAAATCCGTCTGAGCTCTGGATGTTGTGTCACCTGTTCTGCACAAAATGGGTGATGAGGAAGAGAAACAGAAACTCAATAACTGACACACAGGAATGAAAGCTTTCTCTACTTTGAATTAGAATCATGATGAAGCTAAGAAGATTTAAACCAAATTATCATCTGAATTTTAACACTTTCACAAAATACTTAATAAACACTGACATATGCTATTTTTTGGAATCACAGTTATTTAAAACTCCTGTCTTTGTAGTAATTTTATTTCAGGAATTTCATGAGATTTCCTGTACTGTACAAGGAGTTGATTTTACATTCTCTTTTTTACGCAAATGTTCTCCTAACAGCTTGCCTGCATAAAGAATAATTTTAAATCTGAATAAAGTAGTGAAGTTTAGTACTATTGAATAAAATTTCTCCTCTTTAAACAAAGACCATCACGACCCAACCTTCCCCCAAAACAAAAACTTTCCCACACTATGACTAAATTATTCTATTAAAATAACCTTCACTGTTTTCTGAGTAAAAATGAAACACAAGTTTCTATTTCTGAAGGTTTGTGGGATTTTTTAATCACTTTTCAAATTCTTGCAAACTTCTTTGTTAGAGTTTGGGCAGAAAGCAATCAAGGAAAGCTGAAATTATGAGAGATTGGCCTCACTCCAGCTGAGTGGACAATTGCATCAGCAGAGCAACTTTTCCCAGTTGAAGAAAAAGATGAGAGCTTGGTCAAGCAGCAAAAAGAGGAAGACATCACAACCCCAAAATGTTAATTCCAAACCCATTGATATATCTCTGATTCCACAGAAGGTGAGGAGAGGGGAAAGTCATCCAAGGGTAGCTTTCATGGCATCTTGAAAATTATCACAGAAAGGGAATGAAAATAAAAAGGTGACTGCTACTCCTGACTGTGCCATGAAACCATACACCCTCACACACACAAAGTGGGCACCTGTTGAATGAAACCATAATGGAAGAGGTTACAGCAAGGATGGGTTACAGGGTGATAACAAGATATAACTTCCTTTCTGCAGAAGACTGGCCTCTGATCTTGCAATTATAATGTAAGTTCCAGATCTTATTCAGGATATATGCCTATAAAAGACGTCATAGAGAATGAGAGGTACCTTATAGTATCTGCCCTGTCATTTGAACCTGGTGCTAAAACAGGGAACTGATAATCACAGGTGGGGTTCTAGGTGGACCATACATCTGATATATTACTACAATTATTAGGCTTCTAAATAAATAAGAAAGTAGGTGCTGATCACTACAGAAGCCTGTGGTTGTCTTTCAGTTACAAACAGTCATTATTTATTTAGCATTTCTGGTATTAAATGTTGAGATGTGTCTCTTTTCTTATAGTAAATATG